CAGCCTGCTCTGGGTGACCCTGCTTGGGCAGGGGGTTGGACTGGGTGACCCACAGAGGTCCCTTCCAACCCCACCATGCTGTGGTTCTGTGAAACACGTGTGCTCAGGGGGCTGTCCCGCTGGGCTGTTTTTTTCTCATCTCACAGTGATACGGTCTCTGGGTGGAGGTGAGGATAGGAACGATCACCACCAAGGGCCCCAGAAGCCCGATTTTTATATCCTATTTATTGCTCTGCTGGGGATTAACTGGTTCATTTTTGGACAAGTCACTTAGAAATTTCTACACCTCCATGTCCCACTCAGTAAGGACATTTATTACGTTAGGATTGTACCAAATATCCCAGCTATCTTTGCTGGCTACCCAGGCGGTTTCTGGTGGGAGGAGCGGGTGCTCTGGGCACAAAGCGGCGATTTATTTCTCCTGCCACACCACGAGATGGCCAGGCCGGGAGGGTTTGGGTTCCAACCCTCAAACCCCGTCACAAGCAGCCGGAGAAGCCCCTCTCCATAACAAAACCCCCTTTCTGCACAAGAAGCTCCCAGGGCTCCCAGCCAACCTCTGCCTGGCCTTTGAGCACAGCGGGGGTGCCATCCTTTTGTCGAGGGCCTCTCGGACACGGCCAACGCCTTCGCGACATCGGGATCACGCCGCATCACAGCCATCACCACGTGCCCGCGGTGAAGTTGCTGATGCTGGGGGTCTGGAGAAGCAGGAGGCTTGGCTGAGGGAACCCCGTGGAGTTATTTTGCGGTATTTTGGACGGTCAGACGTCTCAGATCACAGAATCACAGAATCACAGAATAGTAGGGGTTGGAAGGGACCTCTGTGGGTCACCCAGCCCAACCCCCTGCCAAAGCAGGGTCACCCAGAGCAGGCTGCACAGGACCTTGTCCAGGCGGGTCTTGAAGATCTCCAGAGAAGGAGACTCCACAACCTCCCTGGGCAGCCTGGGCCAGGGCTCCGTCACCCTCAGAGGGAAGAAGTTCTTCCTCATGTTCAGATGGAACTTCTTCTGCTTCAGTTTGTGCCCATTGCCCCTTGTCCTGTCACTGGGCACCACTGGAAAGAGCTTGGCCCCATCCTCCTGACACCCACCCTGCAGATATTTGTAGGCATTTATAAGGTCCCCTCGCAGCCTTCTCTTCTTCAGGCTGAACAAGCCCAGTTCCCTCAGCCTCTCCTCGTAGGGGAGATGGAGTATTAGAGGAGAAACACTACTGTGTGTGGCCCTGTTTAAGCTGGACTAAAGCGGAGAGCGGGAGGCTCCTTCGCCATCCCTCACGCGCAGGGCTGGGTACCGCTCCAGCCCCCCGGCCTGCGGTCAGCACCAGGAGTCCTCTCACCGCAGCCTCACGCGCCGGAAAAAATGAAATGTGCCTTTTTGTTCAGATCGCTGCTGGGTAAAGTATGAGCAAGATCTGCACCAGCTGATGTGCACGTGAGAGACGTGGGTGCTACGGGCCGAAGCGATGCCTCCCAGACTGCGCCGGCACCGAGAGCGTCGCCTCGGGGAGGGATCTAAGCTGGAAACGCGGGATAGCACGCAGTTACCTCTGTTTTGCACGGGAAAAAAAAACCCCACAGAAACCAGCAGGTCTAATGGAGGGGGTTTAACGGCACCCTGCTCCGGTGTTATTCGATCTGCTGTAAGAAGCGAGGAACCAAGCAACCCAGCAGACCTGACTGGAGATTTTCAGCATTGCACATGAACGTTTTTGGAGCAGGTCCTTCTCTCTGCCTTTCCTACCCAGATCTCCTCTAGCACCTACTGGGAGTGACGCATGATGTTTGCGGGCGTTCCATCCAGACGGAAGTGGGACGGTGTCGGCAGGCAGGGCAGAGTGCCGAGGCGATCTGGATAACCAGAAGCAGCTTGCCGTAAGCAGATAAGCAAGAATAAAAACACGTCCACATCTCAGAGCGCTTACGTGAAGCACTCTACCGCAGCTAGATTATTTTCTCAGGTTACCAAGAGAGTGAATTGTAACGCTGACTTCAACGCTTGCTAAGATCTCCAAGGCTTAGGGCATCACCCAGCAGCCTCACACCACAACTGTAAATAAAAAGATGGGGACAATCTTTTTAGTAGAGACAGCAGTGACAGGATGAGGGGTAACGATTTTAAACTAAAACAGGGTAGGTTTAGGCTGGATATAAGGAAGAAATTCTTTACAATGAGGGTGGTGAAACACTGGAACGGGTTGCCCAGAGAGGTGGTGGAGGCCCCATCCCTGGAAACATTCAAGACCAGGTTGGACAGGGCTCTGAGCAACCTGATCTAGTTAGTGGTGTCCCTGCT